GTTTGTCCTTTTTAGTAGTCCATGGTATTTTCAATATTCTTCACCGGTACTACAACTCAAACACATTGACTCCTCTTTGGTCTTCATTATTCAATGTCCAACTTTCCCATGCAGATGAGACCATGGAATATCCCCTAACATGAGTCAGGCGCACCTTCGTACTCAAAATAACACCCTTGCTTTTCCACACTTGAAAGAGGCCTTATGCAGCAGATTTGCCCAATGCAACATGCCGTTTGATCTCACCACTGCTGTTTCCATGAGCACTGACTGTGGATCCAAGCAAAACAAAATCTTTGACAACTTCAACCTTATTGGGCCAGTTGTGAGGGTTTTGGTCTTCTTTACACTGAGTTGTGACCCATAGTGATAATGAGCCTTCCTCTGATCCTGATGCCATATTATTTTTCATATAAGCATGCTTTTCTGATTGTTTGCTCAGCATACAGACTGAATAAGTATGGTGAGAGGATACAACCTTACACACACCTTTCCCAATTTTATGTCATGCAGTATTCCCTTGTTCTGTTTCAGTAACTCCCTCTTGATCCACATACAAGTTCTGCATGAGCACAGTGAAATGTTCTGGAATCCCCATTCTTCATAAGGCACTGAAAGCATTAGCCAAAAACAAGGCTCCCAGAATTGAGGGAATACCAATTGAAGACTTCAACAAGCTGATGAAACGCTGAAAGTACTCACTCATCTTGGCCAGGAAACTTAGAAGACAGTTTGTGTTAGTCCAGGTTGACTAGAGAAACAAATCCATAAACACTCATCTAAGAAACAGCTTTATATAAAGGAGCAATTGTATATTGAGAAAATATCCCAGTCATGTGTTATGATTCACACACTCAAATGCCTTTGTATTCAATAAAACACAAATAAACATTTTTCCAGTATTCTGTTTTCAGGCAAGATCCATCTGGCATCCTCAATGATATCTCTTGCTCCAAGACTTCTTCTGAATCTGGTCTGAGCCTCAGTCCAGTTCCCTGCACTGCCACAACCATTGTTGGATGATCTTCAGTAAAGTTTTACTTGCATGTGATATCAATGATACCTTGAGTTGTAACCCATAGTGAAGGCTGCAATCCTTGATCTTCATCAGCAAGGGCTTCAAGTCCTTCTCACTTTCAGCAAGCAAGCTGTGACATCTGCAAACTGCAGATTTCCAAGTTCTGTTGGGTCACCTCTCTTTGGAATGGGCACACATATGGATCTCTTCTAGTTAGTTGGAAAAGGAGCTGTGTGGCAGTTACATAATCTCCCTTCAACTTGAGCGAAGGGGTGGAGTCTAGCCTGTCAATCAGGTCATAACCCATAAAGCCTCTGTGTGGGCATAGCCTTCTCCTGAGGAATCTGGGAACTCCTGTCTTCCTCTTTAGAGGGGAGACACACACTCTCTGCCTTCCCTCTCCTGCAGTTGAGACACTGAGAGCTGGAGGAGACACATGAAGACTGCACCAGCATTGAGATGCTGCTACTGCCGCTGGATCCACAAGAACTTCCACCCACCAGCCTGTGATCTTGCTGCATTTGGCATCATTGCATGTACTGCGTGAGTCTAAAGAGGAATTTATGGACTAGTATCAGACATATGGGCTAATTTCAGACTGATGGGCTTGACTTGGACTGGGATATTATCTCAATATACAATTGCTCCTTTATATAAAGCTCTTTCTTAGATGAGTGTTTATGGATTTGTTTCTCTAGTCAACCTGGACTAACACAAACTGTCTTCTAAGTTTCCTGGCCAAGATGAGTGAGTACTTTCAGCGTTTCATCAGCTTGTTGAAGTCTTCAATTGGTATTCCCTCAATTCTGGGAGCCTTGTTTT